CCGATGATCCATGTTTGCTTGGTGCTCAATGTACTGATCTTGTCAATGATTTCAAATGTGATTGTCCACCGGGATTCACCGGAAAACGATGTGAAGATAAAATTGATTTATGTGCCACAAATCCTTGTATTCATGGTCTATGCGTTGATCGACTATTCTATCATGAATGTGTTTGCGAACCTGGTTGGAATGGCACACGATGTGAAATCAATACCAATGAATGTGCTTCATCACCTTGTGAAAATGATGCCGAATGTGTTGATCTTATCGATGGCTATCGATGTGTTTGTGATCCAAACTCATTCACTGGATCTAGATGTCAACATGAAATCGATGCATGTGAATCTAGTCCATGCCAAAATGGTGGAACATGTCTAGATCAATCGATAGGATTTAGATGTCAATGTAAACCGGGATTCGTCGGTCTTCAATGTGAAGCGGAAGTTGATGAATGTGTTTCTAACCCGTGTTCACCACTTGGAACTGAACGTTGTATCGATATGGACAATGCTTACAAATGCCAATGTCATGAAGGATTCGGTGGTGAACTTTGCGAAACAAACATCGATGAATGTTCGTCATCACCTTGTTTTAATGGAGGAACTTGTGTCGATCAAATCAATAGTTATCGATGTAATTGTCCGCTTGGATGGAATGGACCTCGATGTGAAAAAGATGTTGGAATGTGTGATTCATCACCATGTCATAATAATGCTCGATGTGTTGATCTATTTCAGGTTTGATTTTTCAATTGTCAAATAATTTATAATCATTCGTTCTTTTTTTTAGGATTATTTCTGTGTTTGTCCATCTGGTACGGATGGAAAAAGATGTCAAACAGCTCCGCAACGTTGCATTGGTAACCCATGTCAAAATCATGGCATGTGTCAAGATTATGGTTCTGGACTTAATTGCTCATGTCCGGCAAAATATACCGGGATTGGATGTCAATATGAATATCATGTTTGTGATGAAAAACGATGCCAGAATGGTGCAACCTGTCAAGATAATTATGACGGTACTTATGATTGTATTTGTGCGCCCGGTTTTACTGGACAAAATTGTGAAGAAGATATTATCGATTGTCTCCCTACATCATGTCCACCATCGGCAACCTGTATTGATTTGACTAATGGTTTCTATTGTAAATGCCCATTCAATATGACCGGGGAAGATTGTCGTAAACCAATCAATATTGAATATGATCTCTTTTTCAATGATCGTTCACGTTCATCAAATGCTGCTTTGACCATACCATTTATGTTGGAAGAATCAAATAGTTTTACCATCGCTTTATGGGTACAATTCATGCCAGAAACAATTGGAACTTATTTCACTTTGTATGAAGTTGATTCACCATATGTTATAAGCAAAACTCAACGACCATTAGTGCAGGCCAATCATCTTGGTGTTTTGATCTCTTTGTTCAATGATAATGGCTACAATTCTAAACGATCACCTGATATATTCATGCCTTATCTGGAGAATGTACCAATCAATGATGGCCAATGGCATTATATCAACATCATCTGGGATAGCCGAGACGGTACATTAATGCTTGTCACCGATACTGCATTGGCGAATACTGTTCAAGATTATGGTACCGGTGGTCGATTACCAGCCTTTGGTTGGGTAGTCCTAGGTGCACCGGTTGAAAATTCTGTTCCACATCTTGGAGAAGGTTTCCATGGTCGTTTATCACGTGTGAATATCTGGAACAGGCCATTGGATATGTCTGTTGAGATTCCATCGCAAATACGAAGTTGTAAAAATTCTCCTGTAATTTATAGTGGACTATTGCTTCGTTGGACCGGATATGATACCGTACTCGGAACAGTTGAACGTATTGGTCCAGGAAAATGTGGTGAACGTTTCTGTCCAAATGGTTATACTGGTGATGATTGTCGAATTTTGCAACAGGATAAAATACCACCACAAGTTCTTCATTGTCCACCAGATATGTGGGTCATTTCTGCCAACACATCAACAATCGTACATTGGGATGAACCACAATTTATTGATGATTTGCGAAATACACAAGTAATGGAAGTACAAAAAATCAAACCAGGTGAATCGTTGAAAAAAGGAATCTATGATTTGTCCTATGTGGCATTGGATGAAGTTGGCAATACAGCTCGTTGTGATTTTCAAATTCATGTACTACGGGAATTTTGCAAGATTCCGGATCCGCCTATAAATGGCCAACGAGAATGTTCAGATTGGGGTCCAGGTGGTCGTTTCAAAGTTTGTCAAATCAAATGTAATCCTGGATTACATTTCGCAGAACCGGTTCCAAATTTTTATGTTTGTGGTGCTGAAGGTTTTTGGCGACCAAAATCCTCCGATCAGAATCTTGAATCACCATTAGTCTTTCCGGCATGTTCACCAAAATATTCTGCTCAACGTATTTTCCGTATGGTCATGAATTTCCCATCATCGGTTGTTTGTTCAGAATCTGGAAAGAAGATTCTAACTTCTCGTGCTCATGATAGTATTCTTCGTGTGGATAGAGCATGGAAAATCTGTTCAGATAATGTTCGTGGAAGCTGTAAAGGTTTAGCCATAAATGTTAAATGTATCAAAGGTTTACAAATCAATACGAATCGAATCGTAAAACGGCAAACGGCTCGTTCATTGTCGGAAAATTCGGAAGAAGAAAATCAACAAGATATCTATAGCCTAGAAGTCAGCTTTCCAGCTAATAATGATCCGATTGTTGCATCAGCATCCACCAATTCCATGATCGGTCAGGATAAAGATACATTGGAAGCTATAATACGTCGTGCTGTTGTTGAATCAGCCATTTTTGATGTTCGCGATACATTGCCAAATGTTGCTGCCGATTTGACAAGCCTGGATCTTATCACTGAATATGCTTGTCCACCTGGTCAAGTTGTCATCGGTAATAGCTGTGTTGAATGTGGTTTGGGAACCTATTTCGATGATCAAACTGGTCGTTGTGTGAAATGTCCAGTTGGTTCGTATCAAGAAGAATTGGGACAACTTCATTGTAAATACTGTCCAGTAATTGGCCAACGACAAGGTGTAACAATCATTAAAGGTGCACGTCATCCATCGGAATGTCGTGAAAGTTGTTCACCTGGCCTTTATTATGATATGGAAACATCAACTTGTCGACCATGTGGTTATGGTTTCTATCAACCGGATGAAGGTTCTTTCACTTGTATTCCATGTGGACCAGGTTTAACTACACGAAGTTCTGAAGCAATTTCACAAAAAGAATGTAGACGTAAGTAATATTTGGCATATATTTAGAGTAAAATCTAATTGATTGTTTTTTTTCATTAGCTGAATGTATGGCCGGATTTCAATTATCATCGACTGGAAATTGTGAAGCATGTCCATTGGGATATTATCGTACCCGAGGACAACCATCATGTGAACCATGTCCTGCTGGTTATACAACCGGATCTATTGCAGCCATCAATATTGGCCAATGTAATTTGGGTAAGTTTTTTTTTACTATAAATCAAGTGCTAAAGAATTAAACTAAATTTAATCTTATTTGCATAGAAATTTGTTCTATTGGTCACTTTTTAAATGTGACTACAGAAGAATGCCAACAATGTCCGAAAGGTACTTATCAAGATGTTGAACAACGAGATACATCATGTCAATCATGTCCGCCGAATTCGACGACAAATTCGATTGGATCAACAAGTGCTGATCAGTGTTCAAATCCATGTTTAATCAATGATAAGATTGAACTTTGTCCACCGAATTCACAATGTGAAGCACCATCCATTGGTTCAGAAGATTTCCGTTGTGTTTGTAAAGATGGATATAAAGAGGCTCCTCATCCAGATGGTATTGCCGCAACTCCGAATTCTCCATTTTGTATCGATGTATGTGATGATTATTGTATCAACGGTGGAAAATGCGATTGGAAAATGGGTATGATGTTCAATTATATGATCATTTTCTGATTGATTAATTGATTAATTTCAATTTGATTTTAGGAATGAAAAAACCACGTTGTGAATGTCTAATCAATTTCTATGGTGATCGTTGTGAACGTAAATCTGAACTAATATACATTGCAAGCGGTATTGGTGCCGCAGTTTTCTTCATCATATTCATGGTATTATTAATCTGGATGATCTGTGTACGAACAGCAACACGGCCAATATCGAAAAAATTATCCATGCATACGATACCGGCCGATTTTGGTCCAACGAACGGTTCGCAGCAAAACTTTTATTACGGAGCGCCGGCACCATATGCTGAAAGTATTGCGCCATCACATCATTCAACATATGCCCATTATTATGATGATGAAGATGATGGTTGGGAGATGCCAAATTTTTATAATGAAACATATATGAAAGAATCATTGCATAATAGTAAATCAAATAATGGTACATTACAGGGCATTGCCAATCCATCTATTTATAGTACGAACAAAGAAGATCTCTATGATCGTTTACGTAAACATCAATATATGGGCAAAAAAGGAGGTATGTGTTCAAGAATTGATTTAAAATTTTCTATTTTTAAATGAAAAATTTTTCTTTTCTCTATAAATAGATTCAAATAGCGAAAGTGAAGATCCAGTCAACTAATCTCAACAATTAAAACAACAACAACAAATTCTGAAATAAATAAATAAAAAAAATCAATTTTTGAAACTTTTTCAAATTTTTCTTTCTCTCCACACCCCATACACTGTCTTTGTCCATTTTTTTCTTACTCATCTCAATTCGAGTGTCAATTCATCATCATCATCATCATCATCATAGTTTCATCCATCAGTTGTACATCGAATTTTTTTTCTCTACTTTCTAGTAATTTTTTTCCCATTCCATTTTTTTAAAATTTTATTGATGATTACACTTTTTTTTCTATATGGCTGTGACTTTTTTTTTACTGATTGAAAAAGGAAAAAATTTTATTTATTTACTTTTTTTTTGTATCAACGGAATATAATAATTAAAAACTCTGTTACATCAATATATGATGTTGTTGTCGGTTTTGTTTTCGTTTTGAAAAAAAATAATTTATGGCACTTGTGACAATCAACGAGAAAAAAAAATCCGTTTCAATTATTATTAAAAAGATGGCAATTCATTCACTTTGAATTCTCGACTTGCACCTTCGAATTCTTGAATTTTACCGATAATATTTTTATGATCACCAAAATATCGTATACGATAAAGACCGGGTTTTGTATCCAATGGAATATCCCACAAAACGGTTGCATCACTCGTACCAAGAAGAACGCTATCACGATTCCAAATGAACATTGTTTCCCAATTTGCATCCGTTGCAACGACAATCCATTCATCATTTTCATATCGTTCAACAGTTAGGTAGGTTTTTTCCAATTTTAAATTATTACGTGGATTAGCTGCACAAAATTTCACTTCAACACGTTCACCAGCATGATATGTTTCTTTTGGTTGCACGATTGCATCACCAAAATGATGTCGAATGGCTGCATCATAAACGACACCCGGTTTTAAAGTGATTTCTTTTTTCAATAAATTAGGAAATTTTGGTCCAGGTGATGAAATCTTTTCACGTGAAAGCATTTGTTTAGCCAAATATCTAAATTGTTGTCGATAAGCCTATAATGATGATGTAAACAAAACAAAACAAAATTAGTCAACAACAACATTAGTCAAGTGAGCAAAAAATTACATCTAATGTATGTGGACCAAACAAAGTTGAACCACCTTCATAACGTTGAAATTCATATTCTTCAGGTGTTGTTATATAATTTGAATAAGTATTAGCCAAACCAGAAAGAATAACATGTACATCTCTTCCATGATCGGCATAAATTTTTCGAATATCATTACGAATACGACGACCAGACATTGTTGTGAATTCTCCTGGTAATCCAACAATGACTAAATTTCCAATCTCAAACATTTGTGTTGGCATCAATTCTGGTGCCCATTCATATGGAAATTTCATTTCACCAACTGGTAATAAAATAGCTTTTGGTGCTTGACATTCCAATAATTCTTTCGATGGATGTAAGATAAAATCACGAATAAAATCAAAGAATTTATTCTCTTCTCCTTTTTTGGTTCCTTGATGAAACTGTACAACAGAATTATTATTATTATGATATGATGATGATGTTTATATTATTATACTTACTATAGCTGCACCTTCACCATCGGTGGTTCCAGCGGCGAATGAAAAACCTAATGCAGCTGGACAGGTTTTCACCTCACGACCATCATCCAACGTAACCGTTTGTTTAGCCATATCAATATTTTGATAAACAAAATGTACATCACCTTTGATTGTTTCATTTGCTTTTTCAAACAATTCTTTTGCTTTCAAATATTGTCTTTCACCGATGATTTTAGTGCTTTCAAACATATCTTTACCAGGTCCAAATGCAACACATAATTCATTCTATGACAAGAAACAAAATTACAGGGTGGTTATTATTTTTTTTTTCAATAAAAATATTATTACAAAAAAAAACAACAAACCTTTCCATTACATGTACTGTGTACAAAATCACATGGTTTACCGGTATCCAGACAACGTGCACCCATAATATTTGGTGTTGAATCGCCTTCATTTGATTGACCAAATATGGCTACAAATGGTCCTTTACCAACATTTGTATATCCATTGAAATCTTGTTCAAACGTTATGGCTGCATAGCCTTTATTATCACTGCTAATCAATTTATTTGTATTGTTCATACTGACACCGTGTACAGCAAACCAATTAACCATACCGATTGGTTTACCATTCAAATCGGTGAATTTCAATAATTGAAATGTTTTATCCGTATTATGTTCATATTGGGCACGTTCTTCTTCCGGATTTTGAAGATATGATGCCGGACTACGATTGGAACTTGCATTGGTTAATGTTCCTTCCGTATAGTACATATGTCCGGGTTCCATATTATCATGTGCATCTCTGATTGACTAATTGAAACAAAAAAAAACATTATTTCCAATTATGGATCGAAAAAAAAAATAATCATAATCTCACCTTGACAACACCGGATACGATAGCATGTGTTGATTCTTTAATATAACCTTCAGTGGTTACAATATACAAAAGATATTGGAAATAACCACCAGGTCCAGCATGTGTATGCGTTGCAGAAATAAGAACATTTTCATGTGTATAAACATCATTACCATAGATTTTCTGTAATTCTTCAACCACTAATATTTTCAATATTTGTGCTGAACCACAAAGATCAACATTAACATATGCAACACGTGTGCCCGATTGATCGGCAACAACCATTGCACGTGAATAAAGCCTTAGATGAATACCACGTGTATTTTGACCCAATTTTGCATAGCCCATCTATTAAACAAAAACAAAATTATATAATTGAAAATTTTATCGTTGTTTTCATTTGATTACCATATTAATTTCAGCTGCTGGTCCGGTAATATCACCGATACCGAAACCAATCTGATAGACATCATTATCATTGTCGGTTTGTGAAACTTTGGTCAAATATTTACCATTGGCCGATATGATTAGCCAACAGGTTAAAATAGATATGAAAAAAGATTTCATCATTATTATTATTGAAAAATGAGATAGATATATGAAGAAAAAAGTGTTTATAACACAATGACAATAATCACAAAAATTAGATCTATATTTATATATGAAAAAAATAAAATCCAACAAAAATGATGATGGATCAGGATGTGGATCAACTAGGATTATCAAAAATTAATTAAAAGAAAATTCTTAATTTTTTTTTAAAGTATCAGATGATGATTTTTATCATCACACAAATTATATTAGACATATTGTCGTTGTCACCACCACCGTCGTGTCCACCACAACCATCAACATCATCAACAACAACAACAACAACAAAAACCAAAACAGATGAGAAAAAAAGACGATCACACACACACACACACAAACAAACAAACAAAAATGAGAACAACAAACGATTAATTTTTGTCTGTGCAATTTTTTAAGGTTCAAGTTTATCATCAATAATTATCATCGTTTCGATATTGATGATGATGATGATGATGATGATGATGATGGTGTTTGGGTCATAAAAAAAACCAATACCATTGATGGACTGAAGGCCCAAAACAATGAAAAAAAATCATCTAAATGACACAGGTGTATTCACTTGTATTTTGATAGATAGATAGATAGATAAATGAATCGTAGTGAATTGGATATCCAGGGATAAAAGAAGAAATTTTATGAGAAAAAAAAACATTTCTGACTAGTCATCATCATCATCATCATCATCATCATTGATTATCATTTGTTCGTAATGAAAACACAATGGATTTTAATAGTTTTTTTTCTTTTTTTTTTTTCCTTTCATTGAGATCTCACTCCATGCGTGTGTGTGTGTGTGTGTGTGTGTTTGTTTTGTTTGTTTGTGTTTCCAATATTCGATTTGAATAATTGTTATGTAAATACATCATAATCATCATGGTAATGATAAATTTTCAATGTGTGCGTGTTGTTTGATATGTTGTCAAAATTTTTTTTGCAACTTATTCAAGGGTATTTATTTCCATGAAACAATGAACGAACGTGAATAATTTAAATTGTTGCACTTGTATTTGTTTGTCTGTATCTAAGTGGCAAAATTATTTCATTGGATATTTATTACTTTGACTGGCAACGATGATGATGATGATGATGATTAATCTCCCAGTCATTATCCAGTAACATTGGCAATCACTTTTTGTTTTCATGATTGATTCATTCGATCAATCGATAATGATCCTGATTAAATTCAAAATTGATCCAAACAATTTTTTTTCGGATTGATTGATTTGCTTATCATCAAATTTTTTTTTTTGATCTCGCAAATTGGGATAATCCTCGTTGGGTGCAAACAGGGAAAGGAAGGAAAAAAAAATTTTTTGGGTATTATAATAACCCCTTAACACTTGATTTTATTAATTAATTGGTACACGCAGACTAGTCACATTGATCTGATGAAAAGAAAAAAAAATTACCACCACCAAATCATTTAATATTTGCCGACAAAATCAAGTTTTTTTTCCATTTCATTTAACCTTGATTTTTTTTTTTTTTTTTTTTTTGCATTTTTTCTTTTTCACACAAATGATGATAGTGATCTAATAATGAAAATAATCATGCTCTTGAACCTCAGCCAAACAAGAGTCGACTCAGGTGTTTCAATGATGGGGGTTGGTTGGTCTGTGAGTGGTGGGAGAAAAATCCAGGACTTTTTTTTTCTCTTTAATTCTGGTTAATGTTTCATTGTGTTTAATGTATGTACGAGAAAGCGCGTGTGAAAAATGGAAAAAAAAATTTACCCAAAAACGATCGACACAATAAACGAATAAAAGGAAAATAGAAACAAAAAAAAGAATAGAAAAAAATTGTACGCTCGAGAAAGTAAAAAGAGAGAGAGAGAGAAGAAAAAATCGGAAGAATCGACCGGACACTGGCGCCAGCGCCGCCGGATTATTTTTTTTTCATTATAATATTCTGTCTCTGTGTGTGTGTGTGTTTGTGTGGTGAGCATGATATGGGTAAAAAGTGAATAAAAAGAACTAACAAAAAAAAATAAAAAACCCGAAACCGCCATCGCCTATAGAAAAAAAACATACATTCCTTCAGACGTATCATATCGTTATCGTTATCGTTATTGTTGTTGTTGTTATTATGTTTACAGCTACAACACATATAGATCACACACACACATAAAACACAAACAGCAGCAGAAGCAGTAATAGCAACACTAACAAACCCGACAAACAAAGAATCCGTGCAACCCGACAAAAAAAAACGAGAAGGACAAAAAAAAAAAAGTTTCACACACTCAAAACACAGAATTTTCATATGCACAGTATTCGTTTTTTTTCGGCTATCCTGACGATGGCGCCAAAAGCTCAAGTTGAATGAAAATGAAAAAAATTTCATTTGACACATTGGGCCATATGTGTGTGTATATGTATCCAGTATCTAAATATATTATGCTGCTGCTGCTGCTGTTGTTGTGGCTGGTATTTTTGTGTTGTGTTTGTCTTGTGTGTGTGTGTTTTTTTTTTTATATATATTCAATGGGGTGTACAAAACTCATTGTATTCGTTTTTTTGTGTTCTATTATTGTTCCAATGTGTTTGTATTCTCTAAATAGTCTAGCTAGAATTTTTTTTTTTTGATATTCAGTCCAAAATATTCCATACAGCTTGTATTCAAGGAATAATTTTCATTCATTCATTCATTCATTCCTTTATATTCGAATGGGTCGATAGGCTGGTGATCTATAGATGATGTTTTATCGATGAATGAATGAATGAATGAATTGTATGTATGTCCGTGAACTCAATTTTTTTTCCTTTGTATGTTTCTTTATTTTTTTTATACTCAACGATATGATTCCCAATTGGTAAAATGTAAATTGTCATCTCCAAAAAAAATGGAAAAAAAATGGAAAAAAATGGAAAAAATATTTGCCTATTTATAAATGCTGTAAAAAATATTTATTCAAACCAAAAAAAAAAAAGGGCCAGACAATAAATGAATGAAGCCAGCAGCTGTATTCCTGACACACACACACACACACACACACAATGTAATGTGATAGTTTCATTTTAGTACGTGTGTGTGTGTGGGTGGGTGGATGGATGGATGGATGGTTTTAATTTTTTTTTTCTATACATTACAACAAATAATAAAAAAAAATTCAAGGTTCATCTTAATTGGGTTATTAGTTAATAAACAAAAAAAAAAAAGACGTGGCCATTTTATTATATCAGTTTGAATAACAGAAAAAAAATTCAGTTTTTTTTTATCACTAAATCCTCAATCAAAAAATGATGATTTATGATTGTCATTGTGTGTGTGTGTGTGTGTGTGTGTGTTTGGTGTGTTTTGTTTTTGTAAAAATTAATTTATTCCTAAATAAATAACCTGAATAATAACCACAATAATCATTGTATGTCAATTTTGGGTCAGATCATTATCGTTTTTATACAATGATGATAAAAAAAATGGTGGAAAACAAATCAGGATTCTTTGTCAATTCATGTTGACCATCACCAACAACACAACCACCACAATATTGTATTGAATCGAATAAATGAATAAATCTTTTTCAAATTCTGGAATTCTGTTTGTTCAAGAGGAATAAATTCTTTGTGGTTAAATTATTATCCATCATTTGACGTTGTTGTTGTTGTTGTTTATATAGTTTGGAAATTGAAAATTTATTGATAATCGAATGAACCAAACAACAAAAACAAATGATGATGATGATGATGTTATTGGATAATTTTTATTTTTATTTTCTCCATTTCCTTCTCCTACTTTTTTGCACCGCAAAAAAAATGTTAAATATTTCCGGTAAAGTCATTTAATTGTCAATGTTGTTGTTGTTGTTGTTTGAAAGATTCGTGATCGTTATTCTTGTTTTTTTCTTCTTTCTTTAGTGGCCATTGGCCATAATAATAATGATAATAAAAAATCAATTCTGTTGATTTTTTTTTCTGTTGTTGTTGTTGTTGTCGGTGATGGTCATTTAGTTAGGAGATTTAGTATTATTTTGTACCATCATCATCATTATCATCATTTCATATCTTTTTGTAAAAATCTTTTCGGATCGTTTACCGTTTTTCCTCCCTCATTGTTGTCGTCGTCGTCGTTGTTGTTGTTGTTGTTCATAATGACCAACAAAACTGCTAACCGTGCCAAGAATTGGCAATCGTTTCGCTCTCTTTATTTTCTTTCTTTCTCTCTTTCTCCCTCTCTAAAAATGAGAAACGAAAAAAAAAAAATAAATACAAAGTCCAAGATTCATGTAATACATGATGATGATGATGATGTGTTAAAACACAGGGAATTCTTTGAATTTGTTTTTTTTCCATCTTGCGGTTTCTAGTCCCTATATCGTCATCAACAACATTACGATGATGTTGATACTTTAGATAATTATCCTTGGCATTAAAAGTGAACAAAATAAATAGCCAATAATAATAATAATAATAACAACAACAACAACAACAACAACGACGACGACGACGATGAAATTCGTGAATGAATTTCATTCATTTATTCATTCATTGCTTGCGTAATATTTTTGTTATCGTTGATGGTTTGTTGGTTGGTTAGGTTATAATAGTATTAACATTGCCATTTATATGATGATGTAAAAGATGTAAGTTATAGATAGTATGGATTCTCTCGCTCTCTTTCTTCATCTACTATTCTGTCGAAATTCGTTCCAAATGATTCCAGTTTTGTGGTAGTGGTAAATTTTTTTTTCTAAAACATTATCATTTTCTATATATATGGTTCATATGTTTTTTTTCCGATTCTGGATCAAGTTTGAATCGACAATTATTCTTTCCATTTAGTATATTTGTGTGTCGTATACTTTTATATATCTATATATATATATATGGCCTCATGACCCATTTTCATTACACAGTGCTACTACAATTTCTGTTTTTTTTCAACGATGATGATGAAAATCATTATTTTTTTTTCTTCGTGAAACCATTATATATAGTGGATATCCTTTCCTATTAGGTCGAAATATACATGAATACCATATACACACACACAAATATATAATTCATCTTTGTCCACTATTCATTATTATTATATAGATGAATTATATGGAATGATGATAATTGATAATAATTCAAATTTCAAATACAAAAATTGTGACTATACAACAAACGTGTGTGTGTGTTATATGGATTTTTATTTTTTGCAACAAAAAAAACGACTACGACGACGACCATTACGCCCATCCGTTTGATGTGCGATCCAATGTTTCTTCTATTCATATGCTCCTGCTGCTATATTGATGGAAATCATTTTTTTTTTCTTCTTCAATATTTCCTACAAGCGTCAGTCAGTTGTTTTTCTACAGCCAAATGGTAAAAAATAACTTTTTGCTGATTACGACGACGACAACTAACGATAATTTTGTATTTGGAAAAACCAAAAAAGTGTAGACACTACTACCACCACGATCCACCACCATCGTCATACCGTACGATTCCAGAATTTCAAACCAGAATTTTTTTTTTTTTGTTTTCCACTCTCGACTCATTCGTTTATGTGTGTGTGTGTTTTTTTTTTTATTTTGGATCGTTTTGGGAGTGTTGTATGTCTTTGAGTGTGTGTGTGTGTGTGTATGCATGTGAGTACAAAACACATAGAATTCTGGCTCCTATTTTTTGATCAGAAAAAAAAGAATTGGATGAATGAATAAGTGTATACGGTGTGCGTCTGTGTCTGTAGGTTTTGTGTATGGTGAGTGAATGGAATCGAAATTGTGTGTGTGTGTGTGTGTATGTAAAAACAAGACCTGAAATGTTGTGAAATAATTTAAAAAAAAAAAAAAAAAAATGACCAAAAAAAGTGATCTTTATAATCACATCTAATTGATATGATACAGACGAATATTCTGTATTATCATTGAATTTTTTTTTTGAAATTGTGTGTGTTAAAAAAAGAATGACCAAGAATGGTTTTGATGATCAAATAAATAAATCTTCATCATTGTTATCAACGATACAACACACACACACACACACACACATGAAAACCATCGAAGAATTTGCCTTTTTATCATCATCATCATCATCATCAACAACAGAATCGTGAAACAAAACAAAAATTACTGACAGAAAAGAATTGATGAACTTACAATTTAAAAATCAGCTACAATAGCCCAGTTACGACAATCAGTCAAGAATTTTTTTTTCTTGAGGAAAATTTCCGGTTTTTTTTCGTAGAAAAAAAAATTTCTCAATCTTTAAATATCAAGAAAAATGCAATGATTTTTATGTGATCGTTTTTTTTTTTGTCGTCGGTTGGTTTGTTGGAAGTCACTGTGTGTGTGTATGCGTGTATGCGTGTGTGTGCGTTTCGTCATTTCATTTAAAATTTAAATAATTTCATTACTGCCAAAAAAATATTCTGATTGATCAGAATAATCATCTGACCACATTCTGCACTGAGAAAACGCATTACAATCGCCAAGTTCATCAACCATCATTTCAAACGATCATCATTATATTTCGTGTAATTTGAACCAATTTTGTTCATCGTTTGATTTTAATTCAATTGAAATTGAAAACAGAGATTGAAAATTTCAAATTGCCTTATTTATTATTCAATGCAAATCAATTTTTTTTTGTTTGGTTTAAAAAAAATCTAATCAAAAAAAACATCACTAATAATTGGTTAAGAATAATTTGCATTTCAAAGTGAACAAATTTTAAACTTTCAAAAAAAAAAAATTTTTTTTTTTGTTCACAAATCAATTTGAAAAGAGATACAACAACAAAAATGACCAAAGATAGATTGGCCGCATTAAAAGCGGCACAAGTGGATGAAGAAGATGTCGCTGTCGGTGTGGAAGAAAAAGGTGGCTACATGGAAGAATTCTTCCAAGAGGTTTGTGATTCTGTTGTTGTTGTTGTTGTTAGAAATGATTTGATTGATTTTTTTTTCAAAAAAAATGAACAACAGGTAGAACAAATTCGTGAGAATATTGAAAAAATGCAAGCAAATGTTGAAGAGGTGAAGAAAATACATTCAGCTATATTAAGTGCACCACAAACCGATGATAGTAAGTTAAACATACATCAACGACACTTTTTTTTGGATATGAATATTTTGATCAATTCGCTTTTTTTTCATATGTCCACACAGAGGTCAAACAACAGCTAGAAGATTTAATGGGCGACATAAAAAGGACGGCAAATCGTGTGCGAGGAAAACTAAAAGGTACAATACTATGCTTGTGAATAAACCCGTTTGATTTATTTCATTTTTTTTTGTTTTGTTTTTGGCTTCAATCAGTAATGGAACAAAATATTGAACAATTGGAACAAACATCAATGATGAGCGCCGATTTTCGTATACGTAAAACGCAACATTCAATGTTATCACAAAAATTTGTCGAAGTTATGACTGATTATAATAAAACACAAACAGATTATAGAGAAAGATGTAAGGCAAGAATACAAAGACAATTGGAAATTAGTATGTATCAAACAAATAATGATGTAATCAATAATGGTTTATAATTAATTTTTCATCAGCCGGTAGATCAACGACTAATGAAGAGCTAGAAGAGATGCTCGAAAGTGGTAATCCTGCCATTTTTACTCAAGGAGTAAGTATTTTTTTTTTTTTTTTTTTTTTTTTGATTTTTTTCTTTACCTTTTTTTATTTCATCTAATTTTTTATTCAAAAAAAAAAAAAAAAAAAAAAGATCATGACCGATACACAACAAGCAAAACAAACATTGGCCGATATTGAAGCAAGACATGCTGATATTATTAAATTAGAAAATTCAATCAGAGAATTGCACGATATGTTTATGGATATGGCCATGTTGGTCGAATCACAAGTATGTATTACTTGGGGTTCTTGTAATCAATCTTTTAATTGTTTTTTTTTCTTTCAATTTTCACTCATTCCAGGGAGAAATGATTGATCGAATTGAATTTCATGTATCCAGTGCATTGGAATATGTTGAAGAAGCGGTAAAAGATACGAAAAAAGCAATGGAATATCAACGTAAAGCACGAAGGGTATGTTGTTGTTGTTGTTGTTGTTGTAGTGATGTGATTTAAATTCAACTTTCTTAAAATTTTTTTTTTTTTGTAGAAACAAATTATGATAATCATATGTTTGGTCATTATTGCATTCATTCTTGTTTCATTATTCCTAAGTTTCATACCATTTTAAATTGATTATTACCATTGTCTTCACAAATTTGATCTACCATCAAAAATTTGAAAAAAAATCATTGAGAATTCACACCTAAAATGGATCAATTCATGACATGACAACAACAACAACAACAACAACTACCAGAATTATGCAAGTGACATCAAGAATGTTTCTGTGTGTCTACTGCTACTGATGCTGCTGCTGTTATTAATTAATTGATCAAGTGTCGACGATTCTCTCTCTCTCTCTTGAAAAAAAAATATTCCACACAATCAATCAATCAATTTTTTTTTGTTTTGTTTTGTTTGCTGTAAATTCATTCATTATCATTCAAATTGAATTCAGTTTGATTCTTGTGCCATGTGTGTATGTGTTTGCGGTTTATCTCTCTATTTCTCAGTGTGTGTGTGTGTGTGTGTGTATTTCGTTGTTTAAATTATCGTTATAATCAATGTGCTGCAGTGAAAAAAAAATCAATATTCAATCCAAGCATCCACATAAATTCAGAGAGTGGAAAACATTTTCTTAATTTGCACAAAATTCATTCATTCATTCATCATTATCATCATCATCATCATTATTATCGAATGACACACACACACACACACATTCATACCTTGTTTTCGTGAAATACTATTTTGATCTCAATAAATATATAAATAATCAATGCAAAAAAAATCAATCAATCATCATCATCATCATCATTTATCACCAGGAAAAAAAATTCATAGAAAAATCGTTTGTGTTTGTTTTATAAATAAAACCATGTGGCCATAACTTCGTAAGAATCGTAAGAATTTTTTTCGTTTTTGTTTTTTGATTTGATCAAATCAATCAGCACACACACACACACACAGAATAGTTGAATATAGACCTTCACCTTCACTTTTTTTTCTTCAAACAAAAAACATATGATTGTGATTTTAAAACACACACACACACACACGCAGACACATTGATTGATCTGAATTTGAAAACAAAAAACAAAATTTTTTGCAATCAACCCATAATACACACACACACACACACACCGTAAATTGGATAGAAATTTTTTTTCTCCTTGATTAACAATTAAAAAAACACTGGTACATTTTAAAATGGCAATAAAATGAATGATAAGTTTCAAGTTTTAAAATACAAAAACACACACACACACACACACTAAGAATTTGTATCTAAATTGTACCTATCAAATTCATAATCATCATCATCATCATCATCATCTATAATTTGTTGTGATTTGTCATTATTCAATCATTATCATCATCATCATCATCATCATCATTGTCATTTGCTAAATTATTATACATTATAAATAATGAAAATTTTGAACAAGAAAATGAAAACAAAAACAAAACAAATCAATCAAAAACCGATAATTCTAGTCAAAATTTGATTTTTTTTCTTGTTGTTGAAACACACCCACACACACACACACAGAGACCATGATATGCCAGTATGCAATAGCCACTGACCACAATCAGAATTAGTATTGTTCATTTCCATTCCAAACGTGTGTATTTTTTTTTTTTTTTTGTTTTATTTACAGAATTCATCATCATTGAATAGAGAAGATAACTATCTCTCGCTCACAAACACACACACACACATACACAGAATAATTTAAATATAAAATTTGAGTGTTGTTTTTTTGTACAAAAAATAAACAGAAATATTTGAAAAACATTTCCTTTTCATTTTTGCTGTTTGTTAGGTGTGTGAATTTTCTTATTCTTGTGGTTCCCTTTTGAAAAAAAAACAACAAAATCCTTCATGTTGTTGTTAAGTTGATGGTGATGAAATTGCTCCAGCTACATGGACAACAGAATAATATAATTGTATGTCGAATCCGATTTCACACACACACACACACACACCTAAATCTGAAAAATTCATTTCCGGACCTTTAATTTTTTTTTGTGTGTGAGTGTGGTTTTTATGCGAATATTTCCGGTAAAATTTTCAAAAATGTCAAGGCTGATGATGATGATGATGATTTATGAATCTTTTTATTCAAGTTTTCATTTTTTCTTTGTCTCACTAATTTATGAAAATTGAATGAGAAAAAATTTTTTGTTTGTTTGTTTGTTTTGTTTTCATTGTTGTTATCGCTGTTGTTATTTTTCAAAAATTTTTTAAATTTCAAAAAAAAAATTTGTTCATCATCATCATCATCATCATCCATTGTTATTTTCTGCACCACCAAAATAAAATAAAAAAAAAAATGTCCACTGCAATGGACACTCGCACCCGTGCCCCCACCCCCCAAAAAAAATTTCAATTCTGTAAATAAAATAAATTCAAAATTTTCAATCAACGCCCATCAACCATCGACTATCGACGGCGACCACCACCACCAACACAAAAACCATCATCATGATCGACATACATCGACACGCCTCACCATCAATGAATCATCATCTTTCTTCTTCTTTTTGTTTTTTGGAAAATAAAAAAAAAATAACATCCACATACAAACACACACACACACACACTACTACTACTACTACTACAACTACAACTACCACAAATGAAGAAATCAATGTCAAAAACAAAAACAAACAAAAAATCAATGGGGAAAAAAAATTTTCAAACGAAAAAAAAATTCGATTAAAGTTAATTGAATATATAATAATTATATCTATATAATAATCTATTATATAATGATTATAATAATAATGATTTTAATTGAAATAAAATTGTTTTCTCTTCATTTTCGTTTTCGTTTTCAATTTTCAATTTTCAATTTTGTTTGTTTTGAAAAAAAAATTTTTTAAAATTTCAAAAAAAATTTTCTCCTGAACACTGCCCAGCCATCTGGTGTCGAAAATCCGATACACTCATTTTCCATTGCTCATTTTTCATTCGATTTTTTTTTTTTTTTTTTTTTGAATTTACATTTTCCAAAAAATCAGCTGGTTGACAACAGTTGGTTGGTTGGTTGATTGTAACCAGACAAAAAAAAACATCATCATCGTTTGTTGAAACACAATTGATTTAATTTTATCATCGTTTATCGTGATTACTATATTGTTGTTGTTGTTGTTGTTATTGTTTTTGGTTCTGGTTTCCGTGAATGCATTAACATTGATTTTAATTTTTCAGGAGCAAACAAATATTACCACCTTTTGATTATTAATCATCAAACAATGATAATGATTAATTGATGGAAATATCAATTATTATTTTTGATTTTCTATTAAATTTGTATTAAATTCCAATCATTTTACGTGTGATTGATTGACAAAATTCATTCCCCTTTAGTATTTCAGCTTTTTTTTTATTTGTTTTTATCATAACAAAAAAAAATGGTTCGCGATCGTCTTGCCGAATTCCGAAAGGTTTGTTCCAAATTTCAGTGATTTCTTTTTCAAAAATTTTTTGTAATTTCTATTTAGCGAGCCGGAATAAATGATGATGATGAACAACAAGAACAATGTACGGTGATGATAACATCAATGGATACGGAAAAATTCATTGAAAAAGTAGAAAACATCCGTAATGCCATTGAACAGATGGAAAATCTAATTAAAGAGATGAAAGATTATCATTCACGAATGCTGCTATCGGCTAAACCGGATGAAAGTCGGTGATTTTTAAATTTGAAATTTCCAATTTCATATTAAAATGCTAATTTCAATTCGTTTTTTGTTTCTTTTTGACAGAAACGAAAAAAGCATTGGAAGATGTCAACATAAATTTCAAAATGTTATCGAAAAAATCAAAAGAAAATCTAAAATGTATGTCATTGAAAATTTTGTTTTGTTATTGATTCTATTTTGTCATGTTTTTCATCATTAGCATTGGAAATTGAATGTCAACAACCAAAAGATGCAAATTCTGCTTCATATCGTATGCGAACAGTACAATATCAAACATTACGGCAACAATTATTGGATGTAATCAATTCATACAATTCATCACAGGTTGATTATCGTACAAAATGTAAAGAATTATTACGGCGACAAATAGCAATCAGTATGTGTTATACATTTGTTTTGAATTTTAAATGAATGAAGAAATTTTTCTCTTAATTCATTACAGCTAATCAAGATATTGATAATGAAGAATTGGATAAAATTCTTGATAATCCTAGTTCAGAAATTTTCATTCAAAGTGTATGTTGTTTATTGTTTATTCATTCAAACACAATTTTTAATAATTATTCCATAATAGCTTCTAACTGAAACACGTGAAGCACGTGAAAAATTGGAAGAAATTCAAGCAAGACATGAAGATATACTTAAAATTGAGAAAAGTATTCGTGAATTACATGAAATGTTTGTCGATATGGCCACATTGGTCGAAAATCAAGTATGGTTTTTGTTTTTGATTGGAATTTTTTTCATTCATTGTTGTTTTGTTCACCTAGGGTGAAATGATCAATCGAATTGAAAATCATGTACAAGAAACGAATGATTATGTGGAAAAAGGTCGTGAACAAACAAAACAGGCAATGGAATATCAAACTAAAGCTCGAAAGGTATGAATGCATTTTCACTTTCATTGTGATTGATTAATATTTGACGCACATACACACTAATGCTTATTATACAAATTTAATTTTCAACTAACACCACCACCATTTGCATGACCATTAATAACTAATTTTAATCACTTATTTTCAATGCATGTATATCGCCAATGTGCGATTCCCATCACTACCACTACTACCACCACCACAACAACAACAATCCTTATCATCAATGCAGAAAAAAATAATAATCATCATAATCATATTGATACTCATTTCCCTGTTGATCGGTTATCTTGTTTGGACATTTAAATGATGATGATCAATAATAATAAATCATCATCAACCCCAATTTACTATATTTCATAACGCTAAGGCACCGAAATTTCTTTTTTTGACAAAATTTTTCCTCTTTGAATCTTCATTATATTAGCTAATGTGTTCTAATCTTTTTTTTTTTTCACAGTGCAAAATTTATATTGCAATCATTTTGATCGTTTTAGTATTGCTGATTGTTTGGGCATCATTCTATTGACCATCGCAGCGAAATCATTTTCATCAATTTTTTTCGGGCAATTCTGTATGATTGTTATTAATGCTGCGGCTATACCTGTGTATTATCATATTGCGTCACAACACGTTAAATATATTTATTATTCACTCATAGAATTTCAAAAATATTCCGGAATTTACATACGAACAAACTTTTTTTTTTAATCGCTGGTCTATCTCACTCTTTTTTTCTTCTCCATTATATATTGATTTGCACGTATTGGAAAAAAATTTTTATCTTTTTTTTGTAAAAAATTTTAATTTTAAATGTTTTTCAAATAAAATATACGAATTTTAATAATAAAATTTCTTGATTCTTGAAATTTCAAATGTAACGTTTGTTTTGAACGACACATTCGATTGCGTCATCGATGATTGTTGGCGCTTCAATTCAGATTCTTTCGAAGTGAAAAGATTTTTTTTTCGAATTTTTTATTGTGTTCGATTCTCTTGGCTCAAATCACAACAACGATGTTTATCTCATTTTTTATTTGGCAATTTCAATTGTTTCTAAAATTTTTACCATTCATAATCGCTTTATCATGGATCATAATATCAGCATTATTCGATGTTGAATTTGTTCTTTATCAATCATTATTATTGTGTGTGTTTTTCTATGTGGTTGATTTGATTGAACGATTTTTATCAAATTTTTTTTCCGTAAGTTTATCCTGATAATAAGATGATTTCATTGGTCTGAATTGGTTTTACAAAAATTTACATTTCATATATAGGTGGACAAACAGATTCTTTTTTCCATTGTCAATTCGACAACATTGGCTGTTTTATTTGCCAATTTTATTGGTTTATCGATTGGCATTACAAAATCAACTTCCGATTCTTGGTCAAAACAAACAATGACATTGACTTATGGTTTTGCCATACAAATGATTGAACCATTATTAATGTTTATCGAAATGATACAAATAATTTCATTTATTCTGAATTTTGGTGAAACATTACGTTCAAAAATATTTGATGATAATAATTCATCATCATCATCATCATCAATGTACAAGATCATTACATTAGTGTTAACATTAGTGAACTCAGTGCTAGCCATGTGGATCATTTGGCATGATATATTTCATCAAAATGATGAACAATTATTATTCATGAAAATTTCAACAATCATCGTTATTGGAATGGTAATGGCCGTTTACATTTATAACATTTATAATGAATACATAATTGTGGATGCTTCATTCATATGGCTATACGTTTTATTCATTCATCATCTGGTATCGTTAGATTGGCAAAGGTAGGTTCATGATTTTTTGATTTTTTTTCATTGCTGCTCGAAGTTTTCATTTTTATATCATCATTTGAATTGATTTCTTGCATCTGATTGATTATTTGACTGACCATATCATGTTTAAGTTTTTGATCAAAATTCATATACCACAAATTGTGTTTTGATTTGATCTTTTCATTACTGCTTGATGGTCGATCATCCTTGCAGCTGGATGTTGGTTGAAGAATTTTTTTCATTTCTGGACACAATATCTCCATTGCCAATTCAATGGTTGCCAATGCTATATGATGAGCTGGCCATTTTAATGAATGTGGATGATAACAACAATAATCATTCAACATTGACCATGAAAATGTGAATATTTTTTCAATGTTTTCATTGTCATTAATCCAATTACTTAATGTTTTTAGATAGAATATAAGATATTTATGTGGAAGATCAATAATCAAGTCAAATCGTAAAATTCGTAACATTAACAATTCAAAATAGGTAACTGAATCACGTAGTTTCCAATAATCGAAATCTTTTGGCAATAATTGATAGGTTTTGTAATCAATTTGATCGTTATCGCCAATGAATTTTAAATGATAATGTACAGATGAAATCAATTCCGATAGTGGTGTATGATTTTCTTTGGTTTTCGTTGCTAAAAAAAAAGACAATTTGACATTTGACTGAATAATTATTAATCTAAACCTTTTAATTTTTTTGATACATACCAATGTATAATGAAGCGGTAACGACAACACCCAAATCATATTTCGTATCTTCGTCGGTTGATGGATTTTCTTCGAGAAATTCATTGAAATGATGTATATATCGACAAGCCGTACAAATAGAATCTGTATGTAGCTGTAAATGAATAGCCGATTTGATTAATAAATCGATGGCTTGTTTTACATTAAATTTTAATTTTTCCATTTTTTGCATCAACAAAAAAAAATGATTTAAATTCTCTCAAAACTCAGCTGAATCTTTACAAGCAATAGGTTAGTGTTACCGAGTGTTGCGATAGATGGCAATATACTGTCTGTGTTGAGAATTTTTTTTTTGAATTTTCATTGTCATTCTATAGAATTCTGGTAATCACGCAATGTATCATATATGGCTGATTTGTATTCTTTAATTTATTTTATGAACAAATCAATAAATAGGTTAATTACATGGGTTTCGAATTCTTGTTGTTGGTTGACAATTTTTTTTTTTTTTTTTTTGGTAGCAATCCATATACACGCACTTTAATGATTATGATGATGATTATTATTATTATTGTCTTTGCTATCATCATCATATTAAATCGAATCGATTTCAAGCGGAAACAAATAATAAACCAAATGTAACAACAAAAGAAAAACTAAAGTAAATGTGATGATTGTAATAATCATTCACAATCAGAATTTATAAAATTTCGTGCTGGCAACACAACAATACCAATGGCCACATTGCATTCTCATGGGACAATGATGATTTTTGTAATCGAAAAACAAAATACTTGATCATCAATGAATTAGTGTGAATGAATGATTTTCATTATTTTTTTCCATTGAAACACATTTGTATTTGGCAAGTAAATTCTGTGATGATTCAAAGCTTTAGTGGCCTTATATATATATGTAAATTATGTGTGTTCACAGTTTCTAGATTTTTTATTTGATAATGAAAAAAAAAATTTTCAAAAAAAAAATAATAAGAATGATTCAATCAATCAGAAATCCTTCTTTTTTTCTGCTTTATTTTGCATATTATTTGCTTACAATTATATATTCTGTGTGTTCCATTCAAACAACATTTTGTCTTTGCATTCGATAGTTGTTCTATCTATTCCATTATTTTTTCTTCTTGAATGGATTTGATCATCATCATCATCAAGATTCTTTCGAAATAGTAATTCTGACTATGACGATGATGATGACATGCAACATTAAGCACATTTGTTTCCATTCTTCTTTAGGTTTGGTTCCATCTTATTCTATCTTTCCAAGAATTAATAGAAAGTTGATTTGATTCTTTTTTTATATGGTTTTTTTTACTTCATACTTTTTTTTTTTTGACTTCTTTATCATTTGATGAAGTTGTCACAAGAATTGGTCGGTTTATTCTCGTTATACACAGAGAAAGTCATCCACATTCACCCACACACACACATACACGAGACAGTGATTCTAAGGGCATGGAATTTTTTTTTTATTCGCTGTTGTTGTTTACTTTAATAAAGCACTCTTTTTGGCCAAGTTGGAAAAATCACTTTCGATGGCAATTAGTAGTTACGAATGATGATGGCTGATAAAGGAGAGAGAAAGAAAATCAGTTATCAATGAAAGAGAAAAAAGAATTTATTGTCAAAATCTTAAAGAGTTGATTTTTTTTTGTTGTTCAGTTTCTTCTGGATAATTGACTATTTTTTCTGGTTGAAATCATGATCATCATTCGATGCCATTAGTGTGTTTCTTCCCATTTCCAATGCCGATGATAATGATGATGATGATGATGAATTTAAAACAAAACAAAATAAATACCCTATATTGTGATGACATAGAGAGTCGATGAAAATCTAATTTGAATTAATGGAAATTTAAATTGGTGTGAAAATTTTCATTTTGTTTTGTTTTTTTGAAAAAAAAAAAGTCAATGTACAATGATATCATTCGAGGGTAATAATGATGATGATGGTGATGGTAACATTTCACTTTTTCGTTCGTAGATTCTTTTTTTTTTCTTTCATTTTCTCATTGATTCTTATTATTATTTTTCGCCGTCCTATTTCTGCTTCTTATTTTTAACAAAAATTTTTAAAGTCAACACATGAAAAATTGCCCTAAATTGATCATTTTGAAGTTTTTTATTCAAAGTAACCAAAAAAAAAAGAAAGAAAGATGGGTTGGAGAGAAGAGAATTAGAATGAAGTGATCCTTTTTTTTGTTTTGTTTTAAAAAGATTTTTTTCTTTTTTTGTTTTTCAACCAGAAATAAAAAGTCATTTAACCATAAACAGAGAGAGAGAGAGGGAGTGTGCAAGATAAACATAAAACTTGCTCTACTTGGTGCTATTTCATCATCATCATCATTAGGATGGGTAAATAAACGATATATAGAAACGCTGTTTTTTTATTAAATGTCATCATCATAGCAGACAAAGGAGAAAGGAAGAAAGAAAAAATTTGCATGATTTAAATATTGTCTTGTTGTCTTGTTTTTTTTCCATGGTAATGAATCCAACGATTATTGTAATCTTTGGCTATTTTTATTTGTATTTTGGTAACGGTTGTTTTTTTCGGATTCTACTACCAATCATCATTATTATCAATATATTTCTATGTATTTCAAATATCCAGTTTTTCTTTTTTTTTGGCATGTAGTTCATTCTGGTAATATTCACAATGTCGTATTAGTAATAATCATTTCATATGCCATTTTTATTCATTTGTTTTCATGTTTTGTGCCTTTTTTTATTGTCTTTTGTTTGTTTGCTTCAGGATTTAATCTATTTTGCATTTATTTCCGGTAAAAAAATATTTGTCATTTTTTTCGGTATTATGGTCCGATAATCTCTTTATATGATTTGACTACTGTTGAACTCATAAATGTATAAATTGAATTTGACATATACAAATATGAGCCATTAAAAACCCATTAGAAATGTATTATCATTCTGTTTTTTTTTTTTTTTTTACTCATACCAATGAGATGGATGAATTTTTTTTTGTTGTATGGATGTTGTCATTTAATATGTTCAAATCTTTGAACGAAACATACTCTTTTTTATCTGTTTTTGTTATTATTCCTAGGAAATTAGTATTAGCCAGTTTTTTTCATATTGTTTTTTTTTATTCACTACTATCGTTCATTCACATATACAGCCATAAATAGCCAATGGCAAATATTCTAAATATTCAAAACAAAAGAATAATTTGAAAAAAATGAATGTTTTTCATGACAATGCAAGAATATCTTTATCATCATTGACGTCATATTAAGCACATACACACACACACAACAACACAACAACGATTGTCAGTTTGAAAAATAATAAGCAACAAAAAAATGAATGTGTATTTTGCTTATTATCATTTTTTTTCGCTGTTTGGTTCTTGTTTTTTTTCGTAAAATGAGTAATGGCCAGTCAATTTCATTCATTTTAAAGATTCACAATCTTCTATTTTTTTAAGAACCAAATGATGAATCAGCAGTTATAAACAAGACAAGAAAAAATTCTTGTTGATTTGACTTGGCTTGATGAGACCGAATAAAAGAAAAAAAAACTTAGAATCGAAAAACAAGAAAAAAAATCTATTTTATTATGCCACGATTCTACAAGCAATATTTGAAAAACAAACGAACTACTACTACTCTTTCGGCTTGTATGTTTTTTTCAAAACAGAATTTTTTTCTTCTTTTTTTTGTTCTCTCTATTATCATCCTAACGACAACGACGAAACGATGAAATTCGATGCGTGTATAGAATTGATAATTGCTTTAATTGAGAATAGATTGGCCGTTTTGGAACAAATTCTTTTTTTCGTGTGTGTACACATTGTGTGTGTGTGTGTTGTACCCAAAGTTAATTTTTATTTTGTCGTTTTATATTCGTATGTAGAGACAGACCAAATAGACGGAGAGAATTGGCTAATTCTGGCCACATTATTTGTTTTGGCCTGAATTTTTTTTTTTTCTTTTGTTCATTTCAATTGTGCTTTTCTGTGAAAACCACAAATTATGTGGATTGAATATCATCATCATTGTCATACACACCCAGTTATTCTCTTTGTGTTTTTATTATTATAATAATCTTTATTATGTGTGTATGGCGTATACACACACTTGTGGTTTTGGTTTTGTTTCGTTCTTGGTCATATATACGGTTATTAATATTGTTCAGTACCTAGGAAAAGGATAATGTTTTTTTTTTTCTCACACTACCCTTTTAAAATGGTCATTTTCATGGTAGACATTTACGGACGAATTTCTTTCTTTTTTTTTGGTCGTAATTAACAACAACATCCAAGTAGTTAGCAAGCGATATAGGTGTATTGCATGGTTTGAAAAAGTTTTTTTTTCTGCTTGTTTACGAAACGAGTTTTTGATTTTTTTTGTTTGTTTGTTTGTTTGATGATAACGTTGATAATGTGGTGCTTCTATAGTATAGTAATGATGAAAAAACGTAAAATTCCTAACGAGCTCACGCAAAATTCACTTGGTTTTTTTGCTCTATATTTTATTTGTGTGTGTGTGTGTTTTGAATGACAACATTGGTAAAATTCTGAAACAAACTTGGTTAGTGTTTCTATTTATTTTCTACCCCCATTTTTTCATTTCATTGTTTTTGGTTTTTTTCTTGTTTCCACTTCCACACACACACAAATAATGATGATGATCCATCCATCCATCTATCCATCCATCCATTTTAGTTTGGTTGTGTTGAAATGTTTCATTTCTTTGTATTTCTTGTTTTTATTCACATTTACTTACTACTTATTTTGAGACAAAGAACAAAAAAATTGAATGCCATTTGTATGGATCTTATTCTTTTGTTTTGCTATTGTGTCTAACGCACATATAATAATAATAATAACCACAACACAATATTCATTCATTTCATTTTCCATTTCGTTTCCCATTACAAATAGATTAGCAGCTTAAAAGTTTTTTTGTTTTACATTACTTTTATTTTTTTTTTTTTTTTTCGTTTTCGAGATTCATCATCATCATCATCATTCTTTTTTTTTGGTTCATCGAAGTATTTTTGGGTTTGTTGCAAGTTGTCAAATTTGCATGATGATGACCAGAAGATGTGAATAATAAAATGGAATGTGAATCGAAGAATCATTGTATGTTTGTCATTTGATGATGATTGAATCGATTAGCTTGTTGTTGTGTTTGAGCATGAAGATGTGTTTGTGTCACCATTTTGTTTCATTTCATTTGATGCAAAGATGTTTGTAATATATTGATTGTTTTATTCAATCTAGAAGAATCTTTTATACTAAAGCA